TTATGCCATCTTTTTTTTTCCCCTTCATATTTGAAGGGGAACCATGTGTATTTAGGGGAAGGGAAACCATGTGAACCATGAAGCGAGCCATGTGTATTTAGGTGTAATTCGAGAGTGAAACATCACGATCAGTAAAATGTGCACTATACAGTACTTGCAATAACTTAAGGTTTGATAGTTATCTCTCCCGTATCTTGGCCCCAAGTTTTTATTGGATCATTTTAATTTTTCCTTCCCCCTCTCTTTAAAAATTTCAGAGTTGAGATAATATGCCGATATCTTTTAAGATATATTTTTTGTATTAAAGTGTTTTGTCATTAATCGGATATTTCAACTTTTATATACTGTACTGTACTGTATAGAAACAGTATAGTACAAAATTGAGTCTAGGTTGCTGGGAAGTATGGGAATGTCTGATTAGCCTTTCATAAAAGTTTTCCACCACCCGAGAGATGCAGACCCAGGATAAGAACAGTTAAAAAACCCTAAACCCTGTAGTGTCCAATTTGCTATTGTACACTATTATTTAACTAATAATGAGGATTTAAAGCTTTCACTGTTGGGAGAGGATGAAGATAGAGGGTAATTTCAGTTTAGTTACTGTGCTGTGGCTGTAGAGCCCACGAGTATATTCCTATCACACTCCATATTTAAAGTTAAATATCCTTTCAGTGTACAAGTAATCATGTGGTTAACTTTTAAGAATAATATACTCCTACATTAAATATTTTCACTTTTTTTTTACACAATTTAATGTACTCTTATGAGAGAAGCGCGTGCACACACACTCGATTCCTCCCATGACTTGGTTACTGTGTAGGAAGTACTAGTAATATTAGATGGTAGCCAACCCAGCACTTGTACAGAACAGTCCAGTAAATAGGAAACGAGGGTTACTGTGGCAGGTTTATTTGTTCAGCTAGCAAGAGTGCTAACATTTAACTCAAGAGCTGTACTTGTACATTTTTTTAGAGGATACTAAAACAATTATTAACATCATAGCCACTTTTATTTTTGTTAATTCTAAGCAATAGTCAAATATTAAGAATTGATTAGGGAGCAAACAACCTGACCATGATTTATCCACTTCAAAACTAAATTAAAACTCAAATAGTTGCAACTTAAGAACGTACTGTGACTAAGTAGTATCTTGGCCACAAATACAGAGAATAAGGCATCAATATAATTAATGACAAGCATAACAATTGGAAAACAGGTCCATAAAAACTAGCTCTATAGCAATCTGACTTTGATATAACTATGATATGTACACGTATGGTCACTTGAGTCAGCGTATCAAGGCTGATTTAACATTGTTAGAACTGTAACAGCCCTTCACTAAAGAAAAACCTAAAGGTTTCACTTTTCACTTAATGACACTTTAACTGGGAGACTTATCACATTTAGGGTTTTTTCATTTTGCACCATTGACACATGACTACAACGCTTATGCTCATTTTATATGCAAGCTGAAAAATGAATTTTTTATTATACATATCTATACAAAACTGTCTAACCACACACTGTGCTTAAAAACCAAACCTTCCTTTTGATTTAGGTATATACCACTAGTTAAATCAAAATAAACTGGGTCATCTGTAGTCATGAAATTATAATTCTTTCTCTAAAGTTGTGCATAATCAGCTTGAGCAGAAGACATGCTAACTTCTCTTTCCTCCAAGACTTGATGTACACAATAATCTACCAGGAGCGTATAAAAACTGATATGGATGTAACAGAGGATGGAATAGAAACAAGCATGTCATCAGCTTTTTCAGATATTAACAATACAAATAGATTTGTCCAAGTAAAAAAACATCCTACACAATTACACCAAAAGTGCTTCTTCCTCAGCAGTTACACAGCCTTTGACTCCACTGCATCAGAAGCATCAGAGTCGTCCTCATCGCTAGGCAAGTCGCTCTCCCCCTCTTGGGTCATTGTGGCCACCAGAGTGCCAACTGCCTTCCCCAGGTCTCCTATAAACAAATATTTTTAGTGTGAAACCCATTGCTCAAGCCAATATTATACGGCAAACCTCCAACAACCATGCAACGCACTGTCTCATTATTAATCAAAACATATTTAAACCTTACCATCCTGAACTTCTACTATATGGAGCTGCATGTAAAAAAGAAAAATATATATATATATATATATATATATATAGATATGTTTTATTATTTTCAGGCTTAATATTTACTTTGCTCTTGCCTAAAATATCCACAAACATGCTGTTATAACATTACAATTACTAATATTTGTTTCGACTTCTGTATATATTACAAAAAAAACTTTGATCAACCTCAGATTCAAATCTATGCATATTCCAGCAAGAATATGCACAGAATTAAAAGCTATACCTTAGATAAAAATTACACTTAGATAAAAAATGATCTCTTATTACCAGTGTCTTGTCAAATGCAAACAGTGACATGAAATTAAATGTCTTTACTTCAATAAGTAATTAACTTTATGTAGTCAAATCTAGTTATATATAAGTTATTTAAACAGTAATTCTTGCAATCAAAATACTGTATATGCATGCTTACAATTGCAACTATATACTGTATATCAACCTGTTATACAATATTGTAAAAAAAAATCACGCTCATAGGTGCATATCTCGATTAAATGATCATAAGGATACATTTGCCTCTCTCCACATACATAATCACTCTCACTCTCAATTACAATATTATACATACTTTTGTTATTTAGCTCATTGCCCCAGCCATATTCAACAACAAATATACAGGGCTTCCTTGAAAATCCAAACCTCCATACAATAGATCCATCTAAAGAGCAAATGAAATTCACCTACCAGGTCTTCCCTTCAAATTTTGGGTTTGTCAGAAAAAAGTGCAGACACAAAAGTGGGCAGCAGTACAGTCTGAATCATTAGGTAAAGTGATCTCTTGCAGATTGTTTAATCCAAATTTCTGGTACAGTACTACATTGTGCTTTTTTGTACAGTGGAAATGGTACAAATTTCCACTAAATTATTAAAAGTGCCAAAAATTCTATTATTAATTCGAATACGTTCCACAAGATATTCCATAGGTGAACTTTATTATAAAATATGTTTGGGCTATTTGGGTTTTGGGAGACCATTTGGGAGGTCTGGGGGTCAGACCCCCAGACCCCCAGTGCTATGACCCCCACTCAATTTGGGGGTCATAGCACTACCTAATGAACAGTACGCTTTGGGGCTGGATCCTGGGAAATTCTGGAAACGAGGATTTCTTGACATTACACAACCAGGTCTTTGAAATGTGCTACGCAATTGGTTGTCTTAAGACAAGACTCCCTTTTTCTTTATTTATCCAACTATGTCCTCATCTCTCACTCAATTTTTTTTTTACATCCTTTATATACAGTAAACAATGTCTCGACTTAAACAGTATGAATAATTAGGACATTCAGAGATTACACCAGCACAGGCTTCTAAATCAACTTTTTCATTTCATTCCCTAATTCTCATTTGGCTTTTCTTTGTCATTTATCAAACTGTGTAATGATAAATACACTAAACATTGCATTGTATTACACTCTATATACCATCCTCTCTGTATACTGTACTCTAATTTGCGTATCTGTCTTCAATAAAACTTTTGTAAACACAATGTTTTCTTTCTCCCTCTCCTCCATAATCTTGTCCTTCGACCACAAAGAAATGCTGCTTGCGTGCAATGTCTTTCATTCATAAAAAAAAAATTCCACATCCACCCTCACAATCTTAGCATCAAACATTTATACCCATTCATCTATTACAGAATTTAACATTATTAATCATCACTCCTATCGGTCTTCCACATACACTCTACTATGTATTTCATTAACGTATAAAAAATGCTAAATCATATACCACAATCACGCATAAATTCTATATTTCAATCTCCAGATGTACATATGCCTGGCACTTTTTCTCTACATCCTCAGTTAACCTTAAAAAATTTGAATATAATTCACTGTCACAATAAGCTTATTCTTCAATTATGGCAAATGTCTATGCACTAGATCTGCAATTTTTCATCATTTTCATTACTGTGTTTCAAACTTTCTTGTAGATGTCTGTAGAGATAAAACCAGAATAGGGAACAAGCACCTCCATACTCCGGTATATCGTCCATAGCAATATCTTTTCCACTCCACGGACTGTGCAAAGTGCTCTTCATAAGTAGACATGTCAAAATAGCTTTATCAAACCCCCTTAGCAAATTTTTCTCATAACCATTTTCTACTACTAGTGCACAGTTCACATATATATAGGGATCCCGGTAGTACAGTCGGGTTTGTTCTCGACTTGCAATCGGGAATTCTAGGTTCAAATTCTGAGCGGGACATAAATGGTTGGGCTCATTTCCTATCATTTAATGCCTCTGTTCACCTAGCAGTAAGTAGGTACTCGGGAGTGAGTTAGCTTGTTGTGGGGCTGCATCTTGGGCAGGGTCAGTAATTAAACCTTGGAGAGGGGGGGATCTTGATGTAAGCCTAACACATATCAATACACTCTGGCTGCCTGTCCCCTGACAACAAATTACTGTATTATAATTCTATGCTCATATCCATGCACAGGTTGAGCCTTCATCTCCAACATTTTGTCAGTTCATAACTGATAGTTTCCAACTTCTATTCCTGTGCACGCTAAGAAATGTTTGGCCAAATTGTGTTTACACCTGATGCCTCTGTTCACCTACCAGTAAATATGTATCCAGGAGTTAAGTAGCTGTTCTGGGTTACATCCTGGGGAACATCAATTGATGGCCAAGGAGGTCCTGAATTTGCCTAAAAGGTTTTCTGTACATGACAATGGGCAAACATACACCACATACTTAATCTTGCATGAATTTATTTTCTTTCATATCTCAAATTATAAAAATACTTTTGCTTCCATCTCAGCTACATATCATAAAGCCTATATACACCTTACAGTTGCATTCACTCCAGTAGTACATATAGTCACTACATCCATAACTACAGGCAACGTGTCACTTGCTTCGAATGTTTTCACAAATAATGTTTACTATATTTGATATACACATTGAGGCTTTGTATCCTTTAAGACCAATCACAGTATGTGTTAATAATTAAATATTTCCTTACCGTTTCACAAGAAAATTGACTTACCCTTATGATGATATCTATATGCAGTAATTTTTTCATGCAAATTATTAACTACCATTTCAAAAGATAATCATGCTAGACTTCATTTTACCTTAGAGGTATATGAAGCACTTGAAATTAGTAACGTTTTACATGTGCTATAATTACGGAAAGAAATAGAAAACGTCTAATAATCTAATAAGGCATTATTTTAATGTAGGCAAAGGAAAATGTTGGAGCATTCACACACAATATTAGAACAATCAACTCTCCAATACAATTACTCTTTACAAGCTGCCAGGTCTCATCACAGCTGTAAAGGGCTTTATAGCAAAATAAATATTTAAGCAAATCATACACTAAACAGAATAACAACTCTTTAAAGTTCATTCTTTTAACGAATTCCGATCATGCATTGTTGCCAATTGTACCTGCACGTGAGAAGAGGTTGCCCACATGGGCCACATTTCCCATAGGAGGGGGTGGCGGCCGTACATACTCGCTCATTTGATCTAACCCATCGTAAGCACTGCTGGCACCTGCTGTGCCATCACAGCAGACAAAGAGAGCCCAACACCGTGTTAGTATGATGCCCTATATCTCATTACTATGAGGGTGCATCACCATGAAAGGACATTTACAAAACTTACAGACTTCTAAAGATACTCAATAATTAATAGTTAATTTTTAAAGTAAAGTACTTTACATTACAATTTGAGTAATTATATCTACAGCATAGATGACTTTCAGTTTATCAATTGGGTTTATATACCGGGTATATCTCATAACAAAATTATTTCTCACCTTGAGTCGAGTGCCCATTGATTTTAGCAGGAGAGTCCATGGCCAACTGACTAGCAGTGACAGACTTGGTTTGCAGAGTTCCTGACTTGTTGGGTGAACTCATACCGCCAGGCTGGAAAAAAAAAATTGTGAAAAGTGGGTACACTGTGCATACGTACTATCAAATTTAACCTCGGAGCTATGCCCCTTTCATGCATACATAGGCTCGGTCCTTGAACTTTTTAAAAGAAATATCACTATCTTAAAAATAGAAAAAAGTAATACAGGTATTAGGAAATATAAGGCCACATGACTGCTGGCTCACATAGCAAACACTGACATCTTATGCCAAACAGGTATCACTATGGCTATCTTGAGGTTATCTTTAGATGATTTCAGAACTTAACGTCCCCGCAGCCTGGTCCTCGACCAGGCTTCATTTTTTTGTTACACACTCCCAGGAAGCAGCCCGTAGCAGCTTTCTAACTCCCAGATACCTATTTACTGCTAGGTAAACAGACCATCAGGGTGAAAGAAACTCTGCCCATTTGTTTCCGCCTCCACTGGGGATCGAACCCGGAACCTCAGGACTATGAATCCGAAGTGCTGTCCACTCAACTGTCAGGCCCCTACTGTTGATGGCCACTGAAGGAAGCTGCAGGAGTACTGTGCTATCCATTAATTAGAACGTTCATTAAAACAGTAGAGATTGCAGAGCTCCCAGAAATCTAGAAAGAGGGAAGTGTAGACCCAAAATTTAGAAAAAGAGTAGAGTACAGATGAAGTAAACTATAGATCAGTCTCACTTGCATGTATTATGTACAAAATACTGGAAAAAAAGATAATAGTATTTTATATAAAATACTATCATCTTTTGCAGTGGGCCAGCTGGAGTTTATCCATGCTAAGTGCAGTGGGCCAGCTGGAGTGGATAAACTTTATGATTGAGACAGCACAGGTCCAGAGAGAGAATTGGTAAACTTCATTTTTCTAGATTCTCAAAAAGATTTTGATAGGTCCATACAACAGGCAAGTTTAGGATAGAGATAAAAGCTGGTAAAACTGAAGGATGTGTCAATCTGGAGGAATGTGGCAAGAAAGATCCTACAGGGCCTGACCTTAGGAAGGGAACTATCAGGAGAAAGTGCCAAGTCAATATGACCCTAGGAGCTGCTCCTAGTTAATAAATCTGCTGGAGCATAATTGTACAATTTGCAGAGATAAAAATCATAAGAGAAAATACAGTAGGGAAAGGTAGTAAACCAATAAGCATGGAAATTTGAAATTCAGTATCTGGAAGAGATTATACGTGTGGTTATCTCCTTGACAATGGAAGTTTGGAAATGGAATTCATATTGTGCTTGACTAACCTCTCCTAATAGCTGTCGTAGTCGATGAAGCTGAGCTTCTAGTTGCCTGTTATGTTCTTCTAAGATTCCCATTCGAGCTTCAAGGCGTCCCTTATGCTGCCGAAGAAGCTTTGCCTCAGCCAGCATGTCCGCTTCTGAGCGCTGACCACCAAGACCATCATCAGGTGGAGAGCCCACAGGTTGCTGTGACTTCAGCCGATCATATTCAGCCTGGAGTACACTGTTCTCTTCCTCAAGTGCCCTGAATGTCAAAAAAATAAGAAATGGTAATATATGTTATCATTTATTGAAATATTATATGCGAGTAGCTCTTATACATACTGATGACCATTGGGAAAATTTTTCTAATGTTCACATTATATTTTATTGTATGGCATGAAATGTGTGTTCGTTTAAAGCCTCGTGCTGCACAAACTTGTTCTTTATAAAGTATTTTTGTAAATTCCCCATTAACCCTTAAGCTGCTAAAGGGTCCTGAGGAGATTTACACCCCTGTGTGCAAGAAAAAAATCCTAAATTTTTTTTCGTCTTTTAAAAATGTCAATTTGTGTTCCCTGAGCACGGGGAAAAAAAAATCGTTGGTGACATTTTGGCCGCAGTAGGCCGAGGAAATCTGGCAAAATGTGGGCAAAGTATAGACAGGAGTTATAATGAGTACTATATATTTGTTGCATTTGCCTAGATCTGCCGTTGAAGTAATTAGTCAAGTAGGACTTTACTTTAGTAGTAATTAGGACAAGTATTAGGAGTGTTTTAGTAATAAAAATTTATTACTTTAAACTGACTTCCTTGTTTTCATGTTTAGTAGATGGATTCTGTTGTAGTAGAAAGTAAAATAAGTAACAACAATTTAATTATTTTCTTCAAATACTTTATCCTTCCTCATAGAATAGACAAATTTTAGGAAATTAAATTTTGTTTATTTTCTGATAGTATCTTTTTCCTAGATGATGCATCATGTATGTTGAATATCCATTACATTGTTTTATACGGGACCACTCCTAATTATCTCATCCTTAAAATAGCAGACAGAGCATTTTATCCCAGTGTAACAGACTAGGCTGTTGTAAGAATTATCCAGAGTGGTTTATCGACAAAAGAGAATGGGAAGCTGAGCCGCATGGTGACCTGACCCCCAGGGGAATTCGCGGTGGAAATAACCGACGCTTTGTTCATATCTGCGTATAATGAATCATCCTATAGTATTCAGGAATTTAGAGAAAATTAGCCTTTATTCATTTTGCATTAAAATTGTATTGTATAATAGTACTGGGTACAATATCAAGAGTATTCTAATTATTGAGTTTAAGTCACCATCAGTGACGTCACGAATCAGATCTAACTTTTGAGGCGGAGTGACCGGCGGTCATAGGTCAGCAGGGTTGACATGTCTAATATTTCTCAAAGTTTTAATAACCATTTTTGTGATCGGGAACAGCTCTGCCGTTAGATGTTTGTAATTTAATTCAGTAAAATAATTCAACCAGTCTGGATCAATTCAGTATAAACAGAGGATAATTGTTATAACTTAACCGTGCTAAAGTAACTGGGTAAGCGATGCGGAACAATACAAGGTTCTAGTCTGGGCTAGGCCAGACGAGGACAAGTCAGTGTGGTCACGGAAGCAGCTAGGAGAGGTCAAACATCTTACCTCTCCCCTAGACCAGCCAAGACCAGCTGGTCGCCCAAGGTATAGTTGCTATTGTTAATTATAGAAATAGTCTTCTCATTTGCCACTCAGGTCAAGTAGGGAGTGTTAAAGTAATAGGGAGTGAACATATTTAGATTTTGTTTTAGTTTTCTTTTAATAAATTAAATTTGTTATTAATTTGCATTTTATTGTTTCCATGTGTTTTATGTGTATACTTGTCCTGGTCACGTGGTCCACACGAGGCAGAGTTGCATTGGGCGCCGATTCTAACATCGAATCGGAATTATCATTACCGTGTAATTTATTCCACACTCAAGGTCATCGTTTATAGTGGGGATCAAGCCCCTAGGTTGATTAATTAGCGTGATCGATCCAGACCTCGATCATTGCTCTTGTATTACTGGTCTGGTGGTGGCAGCAGAGGTGACTCTAGGGTTTTGTTCAGAGCTTAGGTCACGTCATACTGGGTGTAGAATCCTAAGTCGGTCAATCGTCTTAGGACCACGTGGCGTGGAGTTGGCTTTGGTAAAAGTTTTGGAGTCCCTTGGTTTAGAAATAAAAGTAAGAATACGGGTAGAGGGAGTAGAAAGAAGGAAGTGAAAGAGAGAGGAACTCCAAACCCATGTTACAATGGTGCACAGCGGTGGTTTCAACAATTTTGTTTGAAATTGTTGAAAGGCTCACGCGTCTAGCCGTTCGAACACGTGCGCGGATACTAAGGAGACAGCCGCGGGCCAGGATTAGCAGTGCGCCCCACAAGTGCGTTTGAGTGGGGATTGGCGAATCTTGGGTCATGCGGGCTGATATGATTAAGGTTTAGTTAGTAAGATTAGGCTGTTAAACTAGATTTATTGAAAACGAGACCGCTCCGAGTTGATTGGACTGGGTACCATACTCGACCCATTGCAATTAATTCAGAGGTGTTGGGAGCCACCATACTCTTAACAGCAGTTCCTTGAGGGCTGTCGGGGGCGGATATATCTGTGGGACGCCAGTAGATAGTCCGAGGGCGTTATTAGACGACCCAAAACGCTAAGGAAAAACGTAATCCGTGAAGGGCGTTGCGGCCTCCGAGGGACGGACTAGTAAACTACCTAGCAGCGATTCAACAACTAAGTGATCGCACACTTAGTGGAGGTTGAGTCGTCCCTAGTCATAATTGTTGCTGAAAGCTGCGTGTCGCTCTGTTGGAACCTAGAGGGTGTGGCCCCTAGGCTAGGTGTGGTACGGCGAGCCGGTAGGAACAATTATAAGATTAAGTCGAGTGCATTTTTGAATTAAGTATACTTCAAATTATAAAGTAATTTCCGTTTATTTGCGTTGTTCTAGATTAATTTTTTTTCCCCTAAATTCAATCCCCGGTTAAAATTTTTCCAAGTGTTTAGCATTTTCTTGCATATTAGGCTAAGTGCGTACGTTAAGTTTTGTTATTCCCTGTTCTATTAGTCTAAGTCAGAGGCGTTGTTGCTAGAGTGTAGTTAATCCTCTGGACTTAGGGCTATATGTCGGTCACGATAGATAGGTGAAGGAGTTTAAGGGATAATAAGTTGCGTGTAAATGCTTAATAGAGTCCGTGGTATATTTCTAAGTATTTTGGGATAAGTTTTCGGCTAAGTCGATGTCGGAAACTCGTTAACTAATTAATTTGTATTCGTGGGTCACGTGTATGATCTGGGCGTCATTAGGATTCTCCAGTCGATGCGAGTGATAGTTTCTAGTTTTTACCAGTAAGACGGTAAAATTGTGTTTGTAGACTTAGAATTCTGTTTTCAGTAGAAACGTAGGTGGAAAATTTTCTAAGTCCAGCTTGGGCTAGAATCTGACTTTTTGGCGGAAATTCTAATTTTTCATGTTTCGTGTATATTCTGGGGTCAGTATTACTCTCTAGTGCGCGCAAGGGACGTAATTCTGTCCGTAAGCATTAAACAGTGATAATTACATTTTTGCCGAATTTAGTTATTTTTCGAGAAAATCGTGTTGTAATTTTGTCAGAGTCCATTTGAGGTGAAAATCTCGGATTCTGACGAAAATTCGAATTAGTGAGTGTTGAAACCGCCCGAAGTGTCAGTATTGTTCTGCATACAACGTCAGTAGTAAATAATAACGTATTTATATCTGGGAACGAGAAACCCAAATTTTTGTGAATTAAAGGAGTTTTGTGATATTTGGGGTGATAGAAAATTTTTCCCTCGGAGTCAGAAAAATTGGCAGAGTCCAGCAATTGAGTAAAAACGCAGTTTTTGATAAAAATTCAATTTTTAGTAAGCATTTATAGGTCCTGGGTGTCTATATTAATCGCTAGAGCGGTTTATTAACGTAAAACTAGTTATTTTTCCTTCAGAACAAAAATTTTGATTTTTCAGCGTTTAAGCGAAAAAGCGCGGGACTTAGTTTTTTCAGCGCAGCTGGTCCCGCTCCATCAGTCATCAGTGGCCACGCTGCTCACTTCAAGTGCGTTTAGTATTCAAGTACAGTAAATATTCTTTATTAATCCATCACGAGTGCTACGCGTTAGTTGCGTTATCATTTAAATTGTTTTATATAAATTAGATTCTTTAATTTTTTTAACGTAAAGGACTTAGGTTTCAGTAATAGAACTGCGGGATATTTCACGGTCAGACAAGAGTGCGGGGCAGACACTCATTCATTGGATTCACTTCAGCGATTCTCGATAAATCGTTGTATTTCCTATTTTGGGAATTTAGTAGTTTTCTCTTAGAAAAGAGTTGTGATTTTTTTTTTGTATAAGATCACGGTTGTAGTGAGTCCGGGTCGAGGGTGTACTAAAGGGTAGTTTAGGAGACGTGGCACACCAGGAATCACAGAAAATGTTTAACCCTGATAATGACCAGTCAGTAGGGACCAGTGGGAATGGGAGTGTAGAGGATAGAACCTCTTCCGACACCACTGGGGATCGCTCAGGTAGCGATACTATTATTGACATGAGTGGGGAGTCTTGCGAGGAGTCGTCCCATGAGTGGGGAGAGCCGTTTTGGGTTCCCCCACAAATAACATCGACGCCATGCCAGCAGGGTAGACAGGGGGCCTCAGTTAGTATGGCAGGACGTCCCACTTCGCTCGTTAGAGAACAGCAACCCGTTCAACGGGAACATGAACAACCACACCAACAGCAGGAACTACCCAACATAACACCAATACCACAGCACCCACAACACCTAGGTACACCTCATCCGTCACTACAACAACCCCAACCCCACCTCCCATACCTACCCCATCCTCAATTCCCATACCAACCCTTCCCCCAACCCCAGGCCACTCCATACCCATTCCAACCCCAGGCCACCCCATACCCATACCCATACCCATTCCAACCCCAGGCCACCCCATACCCATTCCAACCCCAGGCCACCCCATACCCACCCCAACCTCAATCCACACCCCAACCCGAGGCCACCCACACCATACCTCAGCCTCAACCCCAACCTCAATCCACACCCCAACCCGAGGCCACCCACACCATACCTCAGCCTCAACCCCAACCTCAATCCACACCCCAACCCGAGGCCACCCACACCATACCTCAACCCCAACCCCAGGCCGCCACAGCCTTAGACAGGCAGATGCGCACG